TCAATCCAATTTGATATTCTTGTCATTGGTCTAGGAATTGAATACAAACATGTCGAGGATATCTGAGGTTGTCACTATTTCTATACCTTAGTCTCGATGAGATAACAGTTGATGAAATGATTTGATTGCACGGTAATTGTACTATTGACAGGCTGCGGTTTCGCTGAATTCGAATCTATCGGGTGGCCATGATGCCTTGCTAGGGGCCAATCTTGATATGTCTGTAGTGAGACGATTATTTGGTATTAATCGCAATACTACACACTATCGATATGATGAGGAGCCTACGGGTCATACACTTAGAAGGTAATTTAAGAATCAATTTATGAGAATGGTATTTTCATCTTTTAGGACAAAAGGCTATTTTAGTAATCTCGCAGTGCAATTAAATTTGCTGAGGTTGTTGTCTGTATTTAATTTGATATTAAAATTAAATTAGTGAGATTATATTTAAATATATGTATGCATATATTTGAATGAATTATTATTATTAATTAAATGTTAATATATTATTATATATTAATTGATTTTAATTATAATAATAATTAATTATTTTAAAATACCAATACATAGTGTTTGGTTGCAAGGGTGAACTAGGGTTGGAGCCCATGGCTATTCCTAAGTGGAGTAGGGTTTTAATTATTGCACTATATAAATGCAACTTAAAAATTAAAACATGTGAGATATTCATTCAATTAAAAACCCTAGCCACCCAAAAGATTCTCTCTCTCTCTCTCTCTCTCATGTTTTCTTCTTCAAGTGAAGAAGAAATTTTTTTAATTTTTGATTATCTTGATTTTTGAAGCCCTTGATTGTTCTGGCAAAATAATTAAGGGTTCTGCGGATTGTCTTCATATGGATTTTAGTGAGTGCGATCCTACATTGGATTGATTAGCAAAGAATCTTGTGAACAGTGTCGATGAACAGTATTCGGCGAACAGTGTTTGTGAGCGAAATCAGAGATATTGGGAGGAGCCTCCAAAAGTGAGTATGAACTAAATCCTTGTATGTTTTGATTTATACATATTTTTGTTTACATAGTTTTGTTTATAACAAATCAAAGACATTATAATCTTTGCCCAGATTTTGGGTCTTTAATGTGATGATCAGATTCGTTTTGATTGTTTTATATTCTTGTTTTGCTTTTTCCGCTGCGCAAATCTGATCACTCACTTACATGTACACATTTCCTTTATGATTAAAATATATTAAATAGAAATAAAGAACCTCCATGAACCATTTATCATATTATATTATACCAAATATAGTAAACTTAATATGTGTACTCTCAGGCCGGATTAGGCCCAACCGGGGCGATGGTTGTCCTGGGCCCAACCCATACCCAAGGTCGGGCCCAAAAACCGTACCTAGGCTCGTGCCTATCCTTGCAAACAGCAGGGAATGCCCAGTATGTACATGCCAGATACCCAAAAATCCATGTACAATTTCCATCTCTAAAATTAACTAATTAATATATGAAAATTCATTAATTAATCGATATATTATCAATTATTGGAGCCTATCTCGCACAAAGATGCAATCGAAGCAACAATCACATTGCATAATTTTCTCTTGCAATATGAGAACACTACACCAAAGCTTCTTAATGCACTAAGAAAAGTTAGAGATGAGATCCAAGAATACATCAATTTCAAAAGAAAACAAGTAACATTGGAGTCATATTTTACAAAGGCCTCCTAATTGAGTCATGTATATATATAATTTTTTTATATAAAGAGATTATTAATTTATATATCAAATGGTACCTATGTGTGTGTGTTTTTTTTTAATGTATTATCTTATAAATTTAGTGAATTATTAATTTACCTTCCCACTAACAAATAAAACAATCCCAACTTCAAACCTTCAACCAATTTCAATAAACAAGGAAAAGAATTTCTTTTTTCAATTATCAACCTACAATAACAAAAACAGAAATCCACGAAATAAAATAAAAAATATCAAATAAACCTTGCCTTCTTCCATGGCCGGTAATTGAAGGATGAACAAAGAAACATACTGGCAAACGAATAACATACCATGGTCGGCAAGATCGCGGTGCAGTCACGCCGCCTGGGGTGGCCTTTCTCGAGGGGCGTTGAGATGTAGGAAGAGGGTGGTGGGGGATTGTGTTGTTGACAACATCGTGGCATAGTGACACCGCCTGGGGCCAGCCTTTCTCAAGGGGCGGGGCGATGTGGGAAGGGGTAGAGCGGTGAATATTTTGCTTTTCCTGCTTTGCTTCTCTTTGTTAATAAGATTAAGGAAATTTAATTAAAACACTATTTCAAGTTTAAAATTAATTAAATAGTTATAAAGTTGAAACTCTTTACTAAATGATATAAACTTATCACTTAAACGATGTAAGCTTATCTCTTAAGTGATATGTTTAAATGACTATTTAATTCATTCAAAACTTAAAATGAAGTTTTAATAGTCCGTCACAATCAGCCAAGGCTATTGACAGAGAAAAATGTTGGAAACTGAGTGGAAAAGGAAAAGGAAAAGAAATCAAATTTGTTTAATTATTTTTTTCTTTCACCAAGTGAATGTACACATTGCACGCTAAGCCACTAAGGTTTCAAGGTATGCAGAATGATTATTTTGCCCCTTGTGCCGTTATATTTAACAAACGGTCTTGCATTTTGGGTGGGTATTTGTAGTTTAGGCATTCTAAGGGTAACAACTTGTCTTTTAGGAAAAATTAGGTAAAATGTTTTTCACTCTTCATGGACAAATTTTATTCTATTTGTAATGCCCTTATGTTTTTACCCTTTTATAGGCTGAACAACATTTTCCCACTCTAAGTATAACAAAACTACAATTTGCCAACCTTAATTTCAAAAACAAACGAAGTTCCACCCATTATTAGTGTTTGTCCATTCAAACTGTTGTTTGACCCATTTTGACCTTATTAATTATTATCATGATAATACATTTCTAATTAACTAAAAAATTATCTGAATTTCATTTCAAAATTAATCCAAAATGTGCAAGAACAAAAACAGATCAACGATTGCAGGGCTTCACCAACTCCCCCCACTCTTATGTCCCTCCTATTACACCATGATAGCCCACAAAGGAGGGGAGAAAGGTCTGGAGGAGAGAAGAGAGTGGATTTGAAGGGAAGGAAAGTGGGTTAGAAAGTTGTAAAGAGTTTCACCATGGGAAACGAAATTCTAAAGCTTGGTGAAAGTGATGCCGGCAAAAGATGAGTGGGAGATTTGAAGGTGACAATTGTTAGGTTTACCGTTAAGTTTAGGGTTTGAAAGTGAAATTTGGGCGGGACATTGTTAGTTTTCCAAACTAGGGGTGGCAAATTTTCTTTCATTCTACCTAGGGTGGAAACAATTATTTGGCTCTAACTACAGTAAAACCTCTTTATAATAATACTCTATAAAAGAATAACCTCCATGTAGTCATAAAAAATTCTGGTCCCAACTTGGGCTAGTTATAAATAAGAATAAATTCCATATTGTAATATATTATAATTTTTCTAGGTCCCGTCTTAAAGAACTTGCCTCTACATAGTAATAATTATATGTATATTGCAAAAAATATATGTTATGTTACATTAAAGGTTTAAGATGAAATAAATTATTTATCTAAAGTTATTTGGGACAATAATTTATACTTTAGAGTTGTTATCACATCTTTTATTTTGCGGGTATGTAATAAGTCACCAGCATGGATATCTTCTTGTTGAAGCCAAAATATTTCTAGCTCTCAAGCATGTTTAGAGCTTCTTAGCACTAAATTTTTGATATTTCTGTACTATCATCCTCATGATTATCTTTTTCCTCTTCTTGTCTAATTCCAGTAATGATTTTTTCTTAGGTAATTAAAATATACACGACTTGTTGCTTATTCGGATAATTGAGGAAGACATTAATATCCATTTGATTAGTATAGTGAAGTTGTTGAGTCTGATCACACAATTTTGTAATGACTCTTTGATATCCATTTTCATACTATCCTAATGATACTAAAACAATAAACTGAAATTCTAATACTATTAAAACATGAAGTATAAAATAATAAATAAAAATAATAATTTTTTAATCAAAACAATAATTCTTATAGCTCAACCTCTATCAAATTATAACCTCCTCATAGTAATAAATTTAGTTGATCCCAACATTATAACCATAGAGAGGTTCTACTATATAAATTGTTAAAGATTGCGGATAGACTACGAGTTTTATTACCAAATGAGGATATTGGCAGTATTGCAATTTGCATATGGGAGAAGTTATCATTCATACAAACCTTAAGGGCTATCCAAAAACGCTAAGTATCGATATAATGCATTTGTTTTATTCTTTTCAATATTATCACAAAATAAGAAATAAATTCAATTCCTAACCGGAACACCCTTCACTTGTATCCGGATGAAAGAAAAATAAATTATATTTAAAATGTAATTGTATATAGTGATAAAAATTATTATAAGGATATATAATATAAATCTAAAAATAAAAATTCTCTTTTTTAGTACTAAATGGTTTTTGAAAATAAAATAAGTCTTTAAGCCTTTTTTTTTTTTTTTTTAAATTACATATTTTAACAGAAGTCTTATACACTCATTAACTCGTATATTTTTTTAATCATAACGTAAATATTTATGAAAATTAATTTCTTATATACAAATCAGTAAATAAATAAGTAAATTAAAATTATTTCTTACTTTTTTAATTACCCAAACAGTCCATTAGTACCCTGGACGGCCATATATCAATACCCAAATTAAGTAGCGTGTATTGATCCCACATCTCTGCACGTCTATCAAATTAATTAGAATATAAAATGTTAGTATTTAGAATGTTGTATGGTGGTAACTTTGACGTTTGCACGTCATACAAATACTGATACAACTTTTGTTTTTTGAATCATTCTCATGTCTTCCTCGCTATATATACTCTAAAGCACTCCAACTTCACCGCTAAAACAAGAAAACGAATATATACCCTTTCCATTTAACTGGTTTTAGTAGAGAAAAAATGAATTCCATATATTCATTTCTTCTCTTTCTCTTCATTCTTCCTGTTGCATATGGTGGATTAAAGGATGGTTTTTATGCGACTTCTTGCCCACGTGCAGAATTTATCATTCGAGAAGTTGTGAAAAACAGATTAGATTCTGATCCATCTATTACTGCAGCTCTGCTTCGCATGCAGTTTCACGATTGCTTTGTTAGAGTAAGCCCTTTTTTTTAGCTGTCTCCATTTTATTTTATTTTTTATGCTCTGATCTCTGTTTTTGTAAGTAACATTGAGTTGAAGTCAAAGAGATTAAGATTAATTGATGTGATACAAATATATATATATAAGTGAAAGATGAGAATTAAGACAAAATGCTATTTAAATTACAGGTAATTAAATGTTCAACATGTAATACTTTTATCAGTGACTGACTTGAAATTTTCCTAATTGTTTTAGGGTTGCGATGCATCACTTCTTATAGAACCAAGCCAAAAAGAAAAAGAACCAGAGAAACTTGCACCACCAAACAAGACTGTAAGAGGATACGAACTCATGAATGAAGCCAAAGAAAAGCTAGAGAAGGAATGCAACTCAACCGTTTCATGCGCAGATATTATCGCCGTCGCAACCCGCGACGCAGTGGAACTAGCCGGAGGACCCAGATATGAAATTCCTACAGGAAGACGCGACGGTCTAGAATCTAAAGCTTCTCAAGTTAACTTACCATCACCAACACTCCCTATTCCTCAGGCTGTGGAACTTTTCAAGGACAAAGGCTTTTCTGCAAGAGAAATGGTAACCCTTTTGGGAGGCCACACCGTTGGTATAGCACATTGTAGTAACGTGAACACGGATAGAATGCATCCGGGCTTGTCATTCTGGCTGACGACTACTTGTGCCTCGGATCCTGATAAAACTGTAAAATTGGACCAAGGAACCCCTGAGGCTGTTGATAACGAGTTCTACACTCAGATTTCTTTAGGGAGAGGGGTATTGAAGCTTGACCAGGATCTTCCTTTCCATGGGCTTACTTCTGGAGCTGTGTCTGAATACAGAGAAAATTTGGAAGTTTTTCGATCGGATTTTGCAAAAGCTATGATCAAATTGGGAACAGTCGGTGTTCTTGTGGATGGTGAAGGAGAAATTAGGAACCAATGTTGGGCTTTCAATAATTAAAACTAATGCCTTATTCATGGACATCCACGTCTTTAGAAGATTTTCTAAGTTTTGTTTGTTCTATTTGTTTAATATTATGATTTTTTTACAATCTCATTTAATAATTTCATCCAATTTGTTAATTACATTTGTAATAAATGACCTCTTCGTTTCTTTTAGATGGCAAGATGTAATCCCAATTTTTTTCTTTTTCCTGCTATTTATTGACAAATAGAGTTATAGACTAGGTGTACATACCCATCATCCGGGATTGAAGTTGATGGAGATACTTGAAATCCCAATAATAATTAAAAAAAAAGTCAAATATATATCATACGTTATTGCCTTATCTTTTAAGCTTGATTTCTACCTACTTGCAAAAAAAAAAAAAAATATTGATATAGTAATCATATTTAATTCATCACATACAATTCAATAAGATTATAAAAAGAGACCCTAATAGAGGTTCTGTTACTAATAGAGGTTCTGAAGACTAAAATGCTAAAATTATAAATACCGTCTCTGTAAGCTATCTCAAATATGTTGCAAGTGGAAAGAAAGAGAAGAAATTGAACTAAAAATAGGCTAAAGCTATATGAAAGAGAAACTGAAATACTGGAATACATTTATTTGGTAAAAGACAAGCCTTATATAGCTTGTACAAAGAGATGATATGTGCTAATAGATAGCACCAACTAAGCCCACTAACCTACAAATATAAATCAATCGGTAATTTAAAAACTACAACAAAATCCACTAAAACCGTCACCCCACTAAAGGCATTAAAAGATGACTCCCTAAGAACTAGGAATTGACTAAATCAAACACAAAATATTTTTCAACAATCCCTCCCTTAAACTGATAAGTTTACAACTTTCATGAATTTAACTATTTTCACCTGTGTAAGCCCTCCCTCAAAGTGCAAACACCTAGTAACTTTCTCAACTTCAGGAATGTTGCCAATTTGAGGGGCTTGCTAAAAATATTCCTCCTTTGTAAGATCTCTCAAGAAATGAAACTTCACATCTATATGTTCGCTTCTTCCATGCAAGACTAGGTTTTTAGAAAGTTTGATTGTTGAATTGTTGTCACAGTAAATCGAAGTGGGTCCTTGTTGTGAGAAATAAAGCTCTGCAAAATTTTTCCTCAACCATATTGCTTGGCAAGCACACGTTGTTGCAGCTACAAACCCTGATTCTGTGGTTGATAAAGTGACAATTGATTTTTTCTTGGAAGACCATGAAATAACTCTTGAACCCAGCCATAACACATAACTGGAGGTAATTTTCCTATCATCTAAATCTCCCACAAAGTCATTATCAGTAAACCTGATGAGATCTGACTTTGCTTCTTTCTTGTATAAAATCCCATAATCAATGGTACCTTGCAAATACCTGAGAATTCTTTTAACAATAAGAAAATGCATTTCTTTAGGTTGCTCCCTGTACTTGCTAATAAGACTTACAGAATACATTATATCAGGTCTAGTGGCTGTTAAATACATCAAACTACCCACAGTTTGCTTGTAAAGAGTGCTATCAATATTTTTTTCTACAAGATTTTTCTCCAACTTCAACCTCATTTCAGCAGGTGTGGTGATAGAATTGCAATTCTTCATTCCAAACCTATCTAAAATTTCTTAAACATATTTCTTTTGTGAAGTAAAAATTCCACCAGTAGATTTTTTCACTTCAATCCCAAGAAAATAATGAATAAAACCAAGATCAAACATGTCAAATTCAATCATCATTGACTGCTTAAATTTATCAAGTAATGCTTGATCATTTCCAGTATAAATCAAATCATCAACATATAAGCATATAATGACAGTTTTCTCAACTTCAACTATCATATAAAGTGTATGCTCATATGGGCATTTCTTAAAACCTGCCAAACTGAAATAAGCATCAATACGACTATACCAAGCTCTAGGAGCTTGTTTTAGTCCATACAATGCCTTTTTCAATTTGTAAACTTTATGCTTACTTCCACATTTCACATAACTAGGTGGTTGATCAATAAAGACCTACTCTTGTAACTCTCCATGTAAAAAATTGATTTCACATTTAACTGCAAAATTGACCAGGATTCTTGTGTTGCTAATGCCACCACTAATTTGATTGCGTCAAGTCTAGCCATAGGAGCAAACACTTCTTTATAATAAACACCAAATTTTTGCTTGTATCCTTTAGCCACCAAGCGTGCCTTGTACTTGACGACTTCACCATTCTCCTTGAATTTGGTTTTATAAGCCCATTTGGCTCCGATTGACTTTTGCCCTTTTGGAAGATTAGTCATCTCTTGGTGTTGTTCTTTTCAATAGCTACAATCTTAATGTAACGCCCCGCTTGAGGTACTTGTTATTGTTTCCTCTTTCGCCCTCATTTGAGTTATTTTGGTAATATTGTTTGATTTTCATTATTATGAGTGTTGTGTGGATTAATTGCTTGAAATGGGTTAAAAATGGAAGAAGTGTAGTATGCCAGCTTCGCCGGGCGAAGAATAATCTTCGCCGCGGCGAAGATGTGTTGAAACCACCGGAAACTCTCTGGACGGTTTCGCCGCAGCGACATAAGTTTCTTTGCCGCGGCGACGGCGCGATTTTCATGTTGGTTGAGTTTTAGACATTTTCTCCCTAAGGGCAATTTGACTTTTCTACCCCTAATTGACAGGAAAAGTGGGGAGTTAATTGTAAGGATTTTTCATGGAGAATGTGTTGATATGGGGGTGAGTTTGTAATGAATCAAAGGATTAGATGGGATTCCCAAAGAAGAGTAAGGGCAAAATGGGAATGATTTGTTTTAATTTCATTAAAAGGAATTAGAATCAAGAAACCCCTCATTCTTCTTCTCCAATGCAACTTCCCATCTCCACTCCTCTCAACTTTTCTTTCTTTTGATCAAGATTTCCAAGGGTTTTTTGAAGTGATTTAGGTAGAAACAACCTAAGGCTTCCTAAGTAAAATCTCTACTTAAGTTGTGTGATTTGGAGTTTTAACCCATATTGAAGTTTGAGGGTTTTCATTCTTTGGTTAAGATTAGAGGGAAAGTCAACTTAGCAAGTGAAAGAGAAATTTGTGAAGTCTCTCCATAACAAGGTAAGTAAAACCCAACCCAAGTTGAGATTCATGAAATTTCTTGATTAGGGTTTTGATAGAAATATGTATGTATGTGATGTGCATGTAATTGCCATGTATGAGTAGTTTAAATGGAGATTTCTATGCTTTGTGAATGTTAATACCTTGCAAACATGAGAAATGGGTTGTTGGGTTGACAAGGTAGTTGAGATGGATTTGAAGGGGTGTTATGAAACCCTTTGAAGGTCTTGTTTGACAGGTTTTCATGGCTTTGTGAAGGGGTTTTTCCCCATTTTGGATGGTTAAGAAAAGTTTTAGAATCATGGCCATAATAGAGTTTTATAGTGCACATGAGTTGTTTGATGAAATCCTAAGAGGTTTGAGTGTGAGTAATGAACCTTAATCTTGCAACTTGCATGTTGCCATCTCATAAGTGCATTGGTGAGTTGAACCATCCATAGGCACTAGTTGTACATGGAAAGTGACCTAAGAAAGTGTAAGAGATTGTGTGTGCAACCCTATGGTAGAGAGCTTGGTGAGTACAACTACTCTAAGGGTAGAGAGCATTGAGAAATACTACAAAGAAGAATTAAAAGTAGTATAGTTGGGATGATGCTTCTGATCATCACCCGACCGTTTGGGAATCGGATTGATGCTTTGTGATCATCACCCGAATAGTCCTTAGAATGGTCGATGCTTTGTGACCGTCACCCAATGAGTAATAGAAATGGGTGATGCTTTGTGATCACTATCCGATAGTTATTAGATAAGTGGGTTGATGCTTTGTGATCATCATCAACGGCTAGTGAAGCGTTTGATCTTTGTGATCATCCCCCGATAGTGACTAGAGACGGGTAAATGCTTGGTGAACGTTACCCAAAATTCATGAGGAACGGGTAGGTGCTAGTGATCTCCACCCGATAGTTAGAGGAACCGAGTTGGTGCTTTGTGATCCTCACTCGGTAGTCACTAAGAACGGGTTGTACTGTGTGTTTCGCCCGATAGCCATAAGAGTGAGATGGTTGCTGTGACGCCATCCGGCCGTACCTCCGGTAAGATGAGCCATGATGTTTATAAACAGAAATAGAATCAGAAATAGTATAAGGAAAGAATTAAGATTGTACTCTTACGGGGACAGACCGTTAGAGGGTTTACTTACTGAGCATTATTTGTGCTCACCCCGTTATTTTCCTTTGTGGATGCAGGTCCTAGGTGATGAAGCAGTCGGAGAGGCGTCGGCAAGCGAAGAGGAATAGCTACACTGTTCCCCTAATTCGTCTTTTAAAATGCATTTTTGTAAACAGTACTATTTGTGTATAAAAGACATATGTATTATTAATGAAAAGAAACTTTGGGCCCAATTTTATATTGTATTCATGCATGCATTGGACTAGTTTTCAGTAGATGTTACACTTAACATCCATCATTTTCTACCACTTTAAATCCTTACAAGCATCTTCAAATCTTATAGCATCACAATTAGAAAATAAAGCAAAATATGTGAGAGGATCTTCATTTTCAAATTGATCATTTCCACCAACCTCATAATCTGCCATCCATGCTGGTTTATTTCTGGCTCGTTGAGGTCGTACATTGCTGCCATCTTGTTGATCTACTTCAGTTGTTGATTGATGTGTTGATTGCTTCTTGTTGTCATCTTCATTTTCAAGATATGTTGGAATTTGCTCTCTATTTTGATTTTCTCCCCATGGCCATAATTTTTCTTCATCAAACACCACATCTCAACTAATAATTGGTTTCTTTGTGATGGGATTGTATAGCTTTTAAGCTTTTGACTCCTTGCTAACACCAAGAAAAATACACTTTTCAGCTTTGTCTTCTAGCTTTGTTCTTTTTTTATCTGGAACATGAGCATAAGCGATGCATCCAAAAATTCTGATGTGGTGAACATCTGGTTGTCATCCATTCCAAGCTTCTTCTAGTG